GCATGTGGGTGTGTTGTATATGTGGGGTGTGGGTGGTATTGGGTTTGGGGGGGTCTGTGTCAGGGAGAGTGGCTGGGGGATGTGGGGTGTGCATAGGGGGTGTGGGTATGGTGGTGTGAGGGGGGGGTGTGGGTACATGTGTATGGAGGGTTTGCATGTGGGACGTTCCCCCTCACACACACACGCCCCCCCTGCCTCACCGCACATAGCACCTGCCACCAGTGGTAGCAGCAGGGAGTGAGGCCTTGGAGTGCCTGCAACTGGTGGAGACCCCTGGCAGTGCATGGTCCTGGCAAGCCCCAGGACTGCACGGGGCCAGGCTGCCAGCAGTGAGAGTCGGGAGCTGGCCCAGCTCCATGGAGCCCCCACAAGCCCAGGCTCTATGTTCCTGCTGCCTCACTCTGGGCCCCCACTGGCTCTGGCCCTGGTGCATCTGCCACACATTTCCCTTCTGGCTCCTGCTGCACCATGTAGTCCCAGCCATGCAGCCAGGAACCACATGTTGCCAGAGCCACCCCAGCCTAGCCAGCACTGCATGGAGCCAACCAGGAATCGCAGGGGCCAGCCTGGCACCTGCTGTGCTGGCAGGGAGAGTGGGGAGCTGGCCTGGCTCCATAGAGCCCCTGCCAGCCTGGGCTCCATGCTTCTGCCCTGGACCCTCACTGGTGTGGGCCCCCACTGGTGTGATCCTGCCCCACACTCCAGCCTAGCTGTCGCTGCACTCCCCGCCCCCCAGCCCCTCTCCTGGTGCTACTGCCACCACCATTTCCCCACCTTCCTTTTACTGCTGCCGCTTCTCTCCTCACCCCCACCTGCTGCTCCAGCATCACGTGGTTCCCAGCTGCATGTCCAGGATTGCGGAACACAGCAGGAGCCAGCCTGGCTGTCCCTCGGCTGACCCCAGCCCATCCCTCACGGACTGGGACTATCACTGGTGGTCTGCCCCTTCCCCCTGTTCTTATCTGACTGCACTCTTGAGCAGAGGGCAGTAGGGAACAGCCCCAGGGTTTCTAGGCGAAGGCTTCCGATTTGGCGGGGAGGGGCTGAGGGTGAGGCAGACCTGGTCAGGCCTTGCTGCTGCTGCCCCTGGGTGCTGCTGCTGGCTTCTCCTGGGTCCTGCCGCCACTGGCACCTCATTAGCTTAGACAGGCAGCCACAGACAAATAATAAGTAATTTTTTAGGGGTCCCATGGGCTGGATAGAATGGCTTGGTGAGCCAGATTTGGCTCATGGGTATATTTTGCCCACCCCTGACACAGGACTTCCTGTGACTAAGCCAGAGATTGAATCCAGGTCCCCGGAGTCTAAACTCAGTAGTTTAGCCATGAGCCCATCCTTCATTGGCTGCCTAGAATTAGTAATTTACTGTGGAGAAGAGGGTTTATTCCCTCCCTTTCCCAGTCCATGTGGATCTCAGCTACAGCCTTTGCTGTTAAGATGAACTAAACAGCTGGTTTCAGTTTGCAGTTTTGTGTATTTGTTCCTTTTTAAGAAGAAAGCAAAACCACACTTGAGTTTGTATCCTCACTGATGCATCACTCATGTGTACGTGTATTCCTAGAACTTCTGAGTATTTAATGGTGCTACAATTAGTGGGACAATGTTATGAGTCTTTCCCAATGAACTGTGAGAGAACTTGTCTGTCTTGCTCACCTTGGACAATTTTTGGAAGGTATTGGAGGCCTGTGCCCTCCCTGCAAAGGGGGCAGGCTTAATGGGAAGTGTCACTTGTGCTTTGGCTGCATTGAGCAAGACAGCCTGGGTTTAAAGAATCACCAAGCTCAGTTGAATGAGCTTTGTGTGTGGAAGAAGCCAGGTTACAGAACCTGAATTAGCTCTAAAAGAGAAGACCAGATTCATAGGGGTTGATTACAGTAGGAGATCCTTGATAATAGCCATGTTTTGATTCTGTCTGGCTTCATTTGGAAAACAGGTAGAAGTTTCGGTCCACTACATGTCTTATATTGTCATAAAAGAGAATCAAAGCTTACAAGAGAGTGAAGTAACTCTGACATTTCATTAAATTATATTGTCTTGACTGTGAATTACCTCTCTGGATTCCATTTCCTCTCATTCTAAGCACTTCGTTAGCGACCATTTGGCCCAAGGTAATTGCAGACTTGTGTGCAATCTTAAATTGGCTGGATTCTGACTTCAGCCCTGAAGGGAAAATAATATGACCAGTTTGACATATTTCAGAAACAGCATAGGGGGTTTTTTTCATATAAATTTGATTTGCATACCTACCTTCCTGTTTCATAGCCTCCTGTGTAAGAAACTGAAATTACTGTATAGACTTTAGTATAAATGATACAACTGATGTGATGATTTGAAATATTTTTAGATTAGTATGAGCCAGAGGGTATATAATGATATGGCTGTCCCTCCCCTCTCCCCCTCCCCCCTGCTTTTGGTTGTCACTTCCCCTCCCTCCCTCCCTCCCTTTTGATTTGAGCACATCACAGGAGTCTCCAGGGACTTTTTAAAGTTTCTAAAGCAGGTGGAAATCCTCCCTCCCTTCCCCTTCCTGATCAAATCGCACCCCCGTCCCTGCCCCTTTCACCCTTTCCCTGCTGTCCAGGAAGCAGAGAAGCACCAGAGCCATTCCTGCCCCCTGGGCAGGGACTGGGCTCAGTTGGTGATGGAAACAGTGACAGCATGCCTGGTCCTGGACTGAGTTGGGGAAACTACTCTCCAGCCACCCTGTTGCTGCTGTCTGCTTCTCTGCTGAGCCCAGCCCCCAGTCAGCCTGGCTGGCTCTGGAGCTTCCTCACCCCTGAACAGTAAAGAAAGCAGCAGTGTCAGGCAGGGGAGGGAACATGCTTCTGAGCAGCAAGTGGAAGGGAAGGGGGATTTTACCTGCTTTAGGGACTTTAAAAGTCCCCAGAGACTTCTATGGCTTGGTCTGCCCACACTGGTCGGGGTAGAGGAGGTTGCCAGGAGGGGGTGCAACCACCCCTACAGTGTTGGTTGCTTCTCCTGCACCCCTTTTTGGGAAATCCTGGATCCACCCCTTGTATGTGCTGATAGCTTGGGGGAGAGAGTTTTACAAACAGTACTAGTAATACAGAGTGTCTGCATATATCAAATGTGTGCTCATAGACAAATAAAAAAAACATGTTTTTTTTTAACTTTTTAAACCAAAAATTCAGCTATTGAAATGAATGCATGGTGCTATAAATTGAAATGAAACTGATCAGAATAAATGGGTTACTGCAGGGGTTGTCAACCAAGGGTACGCGTCCTTGGACCAGTCCTAAGGGGTACGCATGGGCAGGCAGGGATGGAGCACCGCTGCCTCCCAGGAGCAGGACTGGGGTGTGGTGAGGGCAGGGAAGTTCACATGCATCGGTAGCCACTGCCACCCACCAGCCCGGTGAGCTTCCCCGCCCCACAGAGGAGCCTGCTTCTGTGGCCCACATGCTGTCCCTGCCTTCTGCACGCCACCCCCCACCTTGCTCAGCCTCCAGCCACCGGTTGTACTTAGACTGAAAAAAGGTTGAATACCCCTGGGTTCCTGCATTATATATGAGCATGAAGAATGAACTAAATTTTGAATCCCTTCCTTATAAAAAAAGAGTTCTGCCCAACTAAGGATGGGGGAAGGACTTCAGGCATTCTAGGAGGGGAAAAAAATTGTTTTTCCCAAAACTGCCACTTTTTTCTTTTGTTTGCTTCCTGTTCCATTTTAACTTCTATAAAGTAGGAGGAAATTTCACTTCTCCCTTTCTCTCCCTTTCCTTATTTTCCCCCAATAATATGTCCTGCAGATATTTTTCTGCTAGAGCTCCCCTCTAGCTGGACATTCACTAGGTTGTTAGTGTGGGTCCCCAGTGCCTGGACCTCTTTGCTCCTTCCTTGGACCGAAAAAGACCACAGGCATTGCCCCAGCTGTTGTTTCTCAGCACATTCCTCTGCTTGCTGCCCTCTTCTGAGACCTCAAGGTCTAGCATATGGAGTAGCACTGAACTCTCAAACTATCCCATTGTATAAGTATATCCTCTTTCATAACGCAACACTGGAGATAAAAGCATAGTATTACATATTCACTTTTGAATGCATGACTTTCACCATTTGCCTAGATTGTAAATGTTATCTTGTTAATCCACAGGCAGAACAGAAAATTACTTAAAGTTAAACTTTAAAGTCAAGTGACTTCTGACCCAAATTAATACAAGTGCCCTGTTTCCCCACAAATATAGCATGTAGCAGACCAGGGAGCAGGGAATGAGTCTCAAAGGACTTTGTTTTCGGAGGCACCACTGAATTGGCTGACTCAACACAATTGACGGTGGAACATGCTCATGAGTCAGAATTCTAACAGATGACAAAATGGAAAAACTGCGTGGTACTGTTTATGGACAGTTCTGCATTGAGACCGTTTGATCTGCATGTCTGTTTGATCACTGTTGGGCAAAGAGATGGTCTATCATCAGGGTGGGGGGAGGGAGTAAAGTCACACATTGGTAGAGATTTATTTCAGTTTCATCCTGCCAATAAATGAATATTATTTTTCTAAAAACAAGGTCTGTAGTTCTCAGTAACATGCTAGTTGCATTTTTGCATGTTTTGTTTAGGGAGCTCTTCCCATCAGCACAGTACAGTGCAGTTAGAATAGCTTCTTGAATTTTTATAAGGATTTTTTTCAGGGATCAAAATTTGACTACATACTCTTTTTGCAGAGGTGTTTCACATAGAGATTTAATATGGCTAAATTTTTAAAAGATTAGAAGCTCAGTTTCTACATGCAAAAAACTGTTTTATAATAAACTGGTAACATGCTAATAGATTATAGCTTTATTTTCTTCTAGTTTCATTTTTTTAAAATCTGACAAAGGCAAAATGGGCAACAAATATGATTAAGGAAGTGATCCTAATGTTTCCATGTGCTTTTTTCATCAGTTGACATCTCAGTCACCTTGTTTCTGTAAACTTCCTGCTGCATATATCCCTAAATATGCTTTTTTTTTTTTTTTTTTTCTTTCTTCTTCTTCTTCCAGGACAACCAAAAGACATCAAACTTTTTATGATGGGCAGTATTGTGGTCTTTCAGGAGTATGTCATATTCCAATGAATGAACCATTCTGTACCAAAACCAGAGAGGTTAGTGAATTTTATAAGAAAATTCCAGTATTTAAAACTTGTTTTGACACCCCTTGTGGTTTATAATAGTGCTCTAGTGTATTTATATCCTAAAAGCACTACAATACCCACTCTTTTCATTCTTCCATCTCAAAGATGTATTTAAATTCAGTAGACATAGAAAGTAAAATTGAACCCTGTTAGCACTCCTAATCAGAAGTCCATACATCAAAGATTGGAACCCGTTGTATACCCAAACACATAGTTTAGCCCCACAGATTAGTATAAACCTCACTACTCCAAGCTAATAACTTCTATACAAATTCCTAATATGTTTTTCTAGGCTATGGTATATACATTTACGCTTTTGTATGCACATAAGCACTCTTACTTCTCTTCTTAAACAAAGTTACTTCCACCCGTGCAGCCCCAACCTTGATAAACAATAGTGTTAGTCTTGGTATACATCACCCTCCAGCATTTTCACTACAGTGTCACCAAGACTTGGTCTGAACAGTAAGCAAGGCCTTTGTATCAAATAACTCTCTTCTGGCTTCTTCACTTGGTGCTGCAAACTAGTTTTGGTATAAACAGGATCCGCTCATTTCAGCCCCTGTTGCAACAAAGCCAGCTTGACAGTCAGGGGTTTACTCTAATTTCCTGCAGTAGCTGTAAAAACACAGTATTCCTACTAGGAGGACTGCGCACTTCCAGCATTGGGAGGGGAAGCTGAAGGGGGAGTGGGTTTCCTTATGTGACACCTGCAATCATAAGCGTATAGTCATAGTATGAAACAGACTTATTATATGGAAGTTATCCAGGTAGGATACAAGTGTCATGCTGCATGGACAGACAAGGTTCTTTAGGTAAATGTGATACCTTTTATTAGACCAACTGAATAGTTGGAAAAATTGTTCTTTACCAGCTTTTGGGCACAAATACCCTTCTTCAGGCATAGAGAGATTCTGCTGGTGTTTGTCTACTCTCTAGGGTTGAATAGAAGTTTAAGCCAATATGCAGAATGTATGCTACATGGAGAAACTTGGTTCTCATATTCTGGTTAAATATACTCATAACTTGGTTAAATATCTGACTTCATGTTGGTGATTATTTGTTTTTTTTCCTGCTACTACTATTACTGCTAATAATAATTGTAACAAAAACTTGGAAGGTTCTTATAGAGATTGCTAAGAAGATTGGCCTCAAATGCCACTCAAAGGGGACAGTGATTACTGTTGAAGGCCCACGTTTCAGTTCTCGGGCAGAAAGCATAATGTTTCGCAGCTGGGGAGCTGATGTTATTAACATGACTACGGTTCCTGAAGTGACTCTTGCAAAAGAAGCTGGGATCTGCTATGCAAGCATTGCTATGGCAACAGATTATGACTGCTGGAAGGAGCATGAAGAAGCAGTGAGTGAAATCTCTCTTCCTTTTAGGCCTTGTTGATTTACATTGTTATGAACTATGTGTAACGTGTATATATAAAATCATATAGATCCTGACAGAAATGGCCCTTTTGTACCAAACAAACATGTTGCATTTTTATTTATACCAGCTTATACCCTAATGTGTTCCACTGCAGTCATAGAGCTCTTCTGGATTAATGTTAAGGGAAAAAAAGAGCAGAATTGGACTTTGTATGTTTCCCTTTCATAAAGTTGTCCTATGATAAATATTGGGGCCCCTGTGAATCAGAGAGTGCGTATAAGGCCAGCGTGACATCATTTTCCTGTGATAGATCTGGTGCTTATTCTTTTAAAGCTCTGCTCCCAAGAACACATCCTTGTAAGTTCTTATACCACTTTTCTCATGGATTCAAGAGTGGCTACTAGCAGAAGGCTCACGCTGATTGCCAGCTAAGTCTTAGTTAACACAAAATATTGTCATGCCAACTAAAGGGCCTTAGGAAAAGGAAACAGTGGCATATAGTACTTAATAAAAGACCAAAGCTGCTTTGCAAAATAGCTTCTTTATATTATTATATATTTTATATAATTGAAATTTTTCATTGGCTATGTTTCTGACCAAAAAGCTAGTACATGGACAGAAGATTAAACTGTATACAGTTTCGGATCATTATATTTTAGCAGTGAGGATTCTTAATCATTGGAACTCCTTATTTGACAAAGGAAATTATGCATTTCCCAGCTCTTGAATCCTTATATCAAAACAGAACTGGAAAATTTATTTATAAAAATGTCCAAACAATAGTAATTCAGTGTGGTACAAGAATAACTAGGTAAACTTTATGATCTGTTTTGTTCAGGAAGACAGACTTAATGGTCATAATGATGCTTTCTGGCTCCCAAAAAACTAGTAAGCATATAAAAAAGTAACCTTAAGGTCAGATTGCTCCACTGGGTGTGTATAGCAGAATTTTGCTATTCTACACTAATGACATGACTTGGTTACTAGGAAGCTTTTGTTGTACTTTAAAGTGGAATTCAACAACTTTAAAATGAATACAGTGCACCCTTCACAAAGTAACAGCAACAGGAAGGTATCCAAACAAACTCTAGGAACATTCTTAAATGAGCATTCACTTAAGATAAATAAACAGTACTAGATTAAATTATTTTTTAAGAAGCTTTAGATTTTTTCCCATGTAATGGAATCGTAGCAGAAAAAAAAAGTGTGATATACCTTGAATTTAGCAAGGCTTTTGATATGATCTCCCACAGCATTTTCACAAGTAACCTAAGGAAGTATGGAATGGGTGAATAGACTGTAAAGTGGATAGAAAACTGCTGGATCATTGGGCTCAGAGGGTAGTAGTCAATGGCTCAATGTCTAAGTGACAGCCAATCTCAAGTGGAATGCCCCAGGGGTCAGTCCTGGGGCCTGTTCTATTCAATATCTTCAGCAGCAGCCTAGAAGATAGGATAGAGCAGGCTTGTCCAACATATGGTCTGCGGGCCGCCAAGCCATTTTATCTGGCCTGAGGCGGCCCAGGCGGCGCTGCACCCGCC